GCTTTGTTCCCCTGATTTTTGTTGCTGCTTTGTTCCCCAAAAAGGTACCCTTTCCTATCAGCTTCTTTCTACCCCCCCAAAATCCCAATCATTTCATGAGGTTTCCCAACCACTCCATCCCTTAGTGTTCTCCCCTCTCCTTCAGGTGTACTTTCCCAAGGACGGCACTTATGTCTACTCCAGCCATTTGGCATTCAGTCATATATTGCTCAGGGGCATCTAGCATCATTCACTAGGATTACTCATCTAATTTTCAGGTATATATGTCTCTTCTAGATAAGTCTCCTGAAGGGAAGATGTCTCTTTAGCAGCCATAACACAATTGGATATGTAAAGTAAGTGCTCAATATACATTTTTTAAAAATATATACTTTTGTTTTAAGTATAAGTCTCACTCTGTCAGGCTGGAGTGCAGAGGCACATTCACGGCCACCGCAACCTCAACATGCTGGGCTCAGGTGATTCTTTCACCTCAGCCCTCCAAATAGCTGGAACTACAGGTGCATGCCACCATGCCCAACTAATTTTTTGGTTTATTGTAGAGATGAGGTCTTGCCAAGTCGCCCAGGTTGGTCTCAAACTCCTGGGCTCAGGCAATCCTCTAGCCTCTGCCCTCAAAGTGCTGGGATCACAGGTGTGAGCCTCCACGCCTGGCCATATCCAATGTTTTATTTTGAAAAATTTCCTGCGATCTTAATATCAGACAAAATACCCTTTAAAGTATCAAAAATTTTAAAAGATACGGAAGATCACTACATAATGATAAAAGGTTCAATCCACCAACAAGAAATATCCATCCTAAACATATTTGCACCCAACATAGGTGCACCAACTTTTATAAACTTTTATAAAGCAGCTTCAATGTAAACTAAAAAAACGATATTGACTCTAACACTATCATTAAAAAAACTTTACTAACAACCCTAGACAGATAAAGACAAAAAGTAACAAGAAGATCCAGAACCTCAATGTGATGCTTGACAAAATGGATTTTTTTTTTAGTTGGAATCTCACTCTGTCACCCAGACTGAAGTGCAGCAGTACACTCATGGCCACCGCAGCCTTGACCTGCTGGGCTCAGGCGATCCTTCCCTCTCAGTCTTCCAAATAGCTGGGACTGCAGGCAAGCACCACCACACCCAGGTAATTTTTTGATGTATTGTAGAGATGAGGTCTCACAAAGTTGCCCAGACTGGTCTTGAACCTGTGGGCTCAGGCAATCCTCTCACCTCAGCTTCCCAATGTGCTGGGATTATAGGCATGAGCCACGCACCCGGCCTGACCAAATGAACTTAATTGATACCTACAGAACACTCCACCCAGCAACCACAGAATGTACATTCTACTCATCACCACATGGAACATATTCCAAGATGGATCACATTCTTGGCCATAAATCAAGCATAAACAAATTCCATAAGATTGAAATTCTGTCAGGAAACTTCTCAGACTACAGTTTAATAAAAACAAATATCAACACCAACAAAGTTCCCCCAAAACTTACAAAGACATGGACACTAAACATCATGATGCTAAACAACTCCTGGGTCAACATGGAAATCAAATAGACATTAAAAGATACCTAGAAACAGACGGGCTCGGTGGCTCAGCCTGTAATCCCGCGCTTTGGGAGGCTGAGGTGAGTGGATTGCCTGAGCCCACGGGTTCGAGACCTGCCTGGGCAACTTGGCGAGACCTCATCTCTACAATATCAAAAAATTAGCTGGGCATGGTAGCACACGCCTGTAGTTCCAGCTACTTGGAAGGCTGAAGCAGAAGGATCACCAGAGCCCAGCAGGTCGAGGCTGCGGTGGCCGGGAGTGGCCACTGCACTCCAGTCTGGGCGACAGAGTTAGACTCCAACTCAAAAAAAAACCAAAAAAAACCACAGTGAGATACCACCTAACTCCAGTCAGGATGTTCATCATCAATAACTCAAAAAACAACAGATGCTGGAGAGGATGCAGGAAAAGGGAACACTTTTACTCTGTTGGTGGGAGTGTAAACTATCACAGCCTCTGTGGAAAACTGTGGTGATTCCTAAAAGATCTCAAAATTGACTGCCCATATGATCCCGCAATCCCCCTACTGAGAATATACCTGGAGGAACTCAAATCACTCTATGAAAAAGATACCTACACACACGTTTATTACAGCATTGTTCACAATAGCAAAAACATGGAAACAACCATGCTGCCTACTGAAAGAAGACTGGATAAAAAAATGTGGTACATATACACGATGGAATATTACACAGCCATAAAGAAGGACAAAATTATGAACTGCACAGCATCTATCTGTGAGTCATCTATCACGGAAACAAAGAACTGAGTATCACATGTTCTCACTCATAAGCAGACCTTGGACAATTATCATAATACTATTAAGAGAAGGATTGTCAGCAGTGGGAAATAGCCAGGGCAGGGATGAGAGTGGCAAGATTGGCAGCAGTGAGATTCTAGTGGAGGGGGCACATCTCATCAACAAGGGTACCTACCTAATGAACATTTGTATGCATAATCCTGAATTGTACTCCATATCTTTAAAATAAAATTTTTTAAAGTTATTTTATTGATTTATTTATTTTGAGTTGGAGCCTCATTCTGCCACCATGGCTGGAGTGCAGGGGCACGCTAACTGCCACTGTAGCCTCGACCTGCTGGGCTCAGGTGATCCTTCCACCTCAGTCTTCCAAGTAGCTGCAACCACAGGCTGGTCTCGAACCCCTGGACTCAGGCAATCCTCTTGCCTCCGCCTCCCAAAGTGCTGGGATTATAGGCGTGAGCCACCACACCCAGTTTAAAATAAAAAATTAAAATTAAAAAAAAGAGGAAAGAAAAACAAAGAGAAGAGAGTATACTGAAGAAAACACAGATACAGCAACTCAATATTCCTTGAAAACTCTAGGAGTCTGGAACTCATCTGGTGACTCTCACCCTGAGGAGATTATGGCAGAGTGAATGCAGCATGCTGTGGGATGGAGTGGGGGATGGGAGCAGGGTCCCTTTCAACACTCTCCCAGTCAGAGAGTGAACTCCCAAGCTCCCCCAGGCTGTAGAATCAGCCCTGTGGAGTAACTAGCTGCAGCTCTGCCTGGCTCTGCCATGGTCTGAGCTCTCAGGATACGCCGCCTGTTATAGTTATGCTCAACTCACAGGAAGTTCTGACAACAGCTCTTCTACAGGGCCAGCCACCTTGAGACCCAGTGACCTACTTTAGCGTGTATATGAGGATTTGCATGTGAACAAGAGCACACAGCCTGTGATCTAGGCATAAACATAGAGTCCACCTTGGCAGAGTTTTTCTGAATCCCCATGTTTCTGGAAATGTTTCTCCAGGATTGGGATTCTCCACCCAGGCCCCTCATTTCTTCTCTCTTAAAAAAAAAAAAAAGTCTGTGTTCTTCTTTTCTCAATTCAGTACATTTCAGAGAGCTGATGATATTTGAGCTGGGCCTTAATGCACGTCTAAGAGTTCACCGGGCAGATGGTATTTGTTCCTGTGTCCATTCACAAGCATTCATGCCTGATTCTGAATGTCAAGTACTGTGCACGCATTGGGTTTATAAAGACGAGGTCACTGACTTCAAGGAAGATGCAATTTAATGCAGGAGACAGGCATAGAAATAATTAACTATGACAGAAGGTTGAATGGAAGAAGGGCTAAGTAGCATTTGAAATGACTTCTGCCTTGAGATTCAATATGCTGCTCTAAGAGTCTAAGTTGAGCCCCCGGCTACCTGAGAAGTATGTCTATTGTCCTCCGTGTCTTCTGAACTAACTCAATAAAAGTCAATCTGTTAATCCTTCAAAAACAAAAACTTCCAAACATATAATAATATCTATTTTATGACCTGGAAAAAGTGAAGTAGTGATTGTTACATTCTCAGCACCTACAACAGTGCCTGTCTCAGTAACTGTATTTATTTTTATGAATTAGAGCATGAACACGATGGAAGGTGAACAGGCCAATGGGTCCATTAGCAATCAAATTCCAACTGAGCTACAATTTACGTACACAGAATTTTGGCATTACTGTATTCTGACATGAGTTTGGTTCTCAGAATTCTGGGCTTTCCAAGTCTTCATGGACAGGTCTTTCTTCTTTTTTTTTTTTGAGTTGGAGTCTCACTCTGCTGCCCAGACTGGAGTGCAGTGGCCACTCCTGGCCACTGCAGCCTTGACTCGCTGGGCTCCGGCGATCCTTCTGCCTCAGCCTTCCAAGTAGCTGGAACTACAGGCACACGCTACCACACCCAGCTAAGTTTTGATTTATTGTAGAGACGAGGCCTCACCAAGTTGCCCAGGCGAATCTCGAACCCATGGGCTCAGGCAATCCACTCACCTCAGGCTCCCAAAGCACTGGGATTACAGGCTGAGCCACCAAGCCCGGCTGACAAGTCATTCTTATAATGGATTACTTTCATTAAAACCCACCAAATTTCACTCTGAGAGCATTACATTTATTTGAATATTAAGATAATAACCTTTATTATTCAAGGTCATAGTATTAAATTAAGTAACATCACTAAAAAAAGTGTGTGTGTGTGTGTGTGTGTGTGTGTGTGTGTGTGTGTGTGTTTTTGAGCCCGAGTCTTACTCTGTCACCCAGGCTGGAGGGCAGTGGCACACTCCTGGTCACCACAGCCTTGACCTGCTGGACTCAGGCGATCCTTCTGCCTCAGCCTTCCAAGTAGCTGGAACTACAGGCATGTGCCACCACACGGCTAATTTTTTATTTATTGTGGAGATAAGGTCTCACCGAGTTGCCCAGGTTGGTCTCGAACCCGTGGACTCAGGCAATGCTCTTACCTTGGCCTCCCAAAGTGCTTGGATTATAGGCGTGAGATACCACCAAGGTGTATATATTCATTTTCTCCGCTGTTACTTCAAAGTAGTGCTCTAGCTATGAACGTTCTTCAAAAGTTGCAGTGATGGCAAAGATACCATTGCAGTCTGGCTAAAAATATAACCTGTGTTTGTAAGTTCAGAACTTCCTACCTTTGAAGCCAACATTTCCAGCTGTACTGGTTTCACAGAGGCAGTAGGTTTCAGTTGTTTGTTGACATTTGCTGTTTTGGTGGATTGTACTGGTACTTTGGTGTTCTGAGTTTTCTACAAGGAAAAGAAACATGAATAGGGCAGGACAACCAGCATTGTAAGTCAGTGCTATAAGAATCAGCCTGTGTGTGCACACTCAGTTCTCATGGTTGTTACCTTAGGTATGTGTGCTGCTCTGGTTGTAACTCTATTTCCAATTTCTTCTAAAACAGCTCGTCTAAAAGTCACATGTCTCTTAGCTTTAGAATTAACTCCTGTGTCAATATTCTCCAAATCACCGGACACCTAGAAAAAAAAAAGGCAATAAAGGCTTGAGACAATTTAAAATACTTTGCTAATATCAAATACTCAAATATAGAATTTCTTTGGGAAAGGTAACAATTCTATGATCTATTTGCAAGAGGGAAAATATACATTTTAGGAAGTCTAAAAATGCCATTTGTAATTGATAACACCACTCTAAATTAGGCAAATCACTCATCCACCTTATCTATAATAAAGATTCTCTCAATAAACTTGTAAAACTATTTTGAGTATTCAAGTGGACCTGTAAGAGAACTTCAAAGCTTCAAAAATAAAATATTTCTCTTATAGCACCCATATCACATGTTAGAGAACCCTCCCTGTAAATTAAAGGCATATAGTTAGAATTCTTCATTGGTCAGGTGTGGTGGCACAAGCCTATAATCCCAGCATTTTGGGAGGCTGAGGCAAGAGGATTGCCTGAGCTCAGGGGTTTGAGACCAGCCTGAGCAACATGGCAAGACCTTGTCTCTACAGTAAGTCAAAAAATTAGCCGGTGTGGTGGCACTTGCCTGTGGTTCCAGTTACTTGGAAGACTAAGATAGAAGGATTACATGAGCCCAGCAGGTTGAGGCTGTGGTGACTGTGAGCATGCCATTGCACTCCAGCCTGGGCAACAGAGTGAGACTCCGACTCAAAAATAAATAAATAAATAAATCTTCCTTTACAGAAACTGCTAACAAGTACAATTAAGATGAAAAATTAAAAAGCTATAATATTAATAGTTAATAATAGGCCTGGCTGTTTAAAAACCAGATGCTTATTTTGTTGTTATTTTTTATTGGTAAAGTTTATTTTTTTATGCACATATTTTATTTATTTATTTATTGAGTCAGAATCTCACTGTCACCCAGGCTGGAGTGCAGTGGTACACTCATGGTCACTGCAGCCTTGCCCTGCTGGGCTCAGGCGATCCTTCTGCCTCAGCCTTCCAAGTAGCTGGAACTACAGGTGTGCACCACCACTCCTGACTAATTTTTCTTTAATTTATTGTAGAGACGAGGTCTCACCAAGTTGCCCAGGCTGGTCTCGAATCCCTGGGCTCATGCAATCCTTTTGCCTCTGCCTCCCAAAGTGCAGGCACAAGCCACAGCACTAGGCACAAAACCAGATGTTTAAAACTCGTACGCTATTTTATAAGTAAGAAATGTCCCTACATGCATGATCTTTTAGAAATACAGCTTTTTAAAATGAGGTTGTCAAGAATGGACTCTCTCTAACATTAAGGACATTTAGAATGGAAGTAGTTTTCTTGGGTAATATATTTTTCACTCTCAAACTGAGGGAAAGTTGGGATTGTATGAAATAAAAATTATCAGTAGACTGTGACCTGTTAGATAGAACATGCTTAGAAACAATACTTGCTAGGAAAAGCATTTCTTATCCCTGAGAGTTGGGGATCCTAACCCTAAGAAAACTCTGAACCAGAGGTTTGAGTGGATCTGTCAGGACAGAGGGGCCAGGGAAAACTCAAGCCTTCCCTGAATAGAAAGAATTTGATCATTAATAATTTGATAGAATAAAGTAGACAAAAATTTACTTGTCAGTTGGATTTAGATCCACAAAGGATATTAAATACTGAATGTACCCAATCTATTAGGATTCTCAAAAGTCACACTGTTCCATTTTTCCAGTACCAACTGCCAACACAAGTGTTTGAAAGTGTTATGCTTATGGGTTGAAGTCTGGTAATGTAGCTAAGTTTAAATTCATCTGGAAGGGAAAATTGCGGCATTTAACCAGCATTACAGGCAGGGTGATGGAACTCAGGTGTGTCAGGGCTCCTCTAGCTTTCAACAAAGGAAAAGTAGATCCGGGTACACTTCAAGCCCACAGGAAAAACACCCAAGACATCATCATACTTTGATTTCTGCAAAGATAAAATAAACAAATTTGGGCATTTTCCTCCTAGTCTGCCAAACTGGTCCAAATAAAATGCAAAATTTCTATTACACTTGAGAAAAGAAATTGATTTCTTTAAAGAGGACAAACCCATACATTAGTGAACTTGGCCTTGAAGACTTAATGTCCAGAAATAAATGGGAAACTCACGCAAAGGGAAAGTGTGAAAAATCTGAAAAACAGACATGGCTTTGCTTGTCTGTTCCACCTGTTTCCCTCTCCCTGCCCGGAGGTGGGAGAAGGGTAGGAAAGCGCTTCCAAGGTGGCATCTGCAGAGCACTTTGCTGCATACGGAATTCTTTCAGTCTTTCTCTCAACACCCATCACAGATCCCTTGGTTGGCCCGGAGTTATGAGAAAAGGGGAAGGAAATCTCAAGAATCTGCCTCTTCTAGCTCTCTGGAGATAAAGAGCACTTGGGGATCGTTCGATGAGTACTAGACCCAATGCTCTGGAGGCTCACTTGACAGATGCCACCTTGGAAGCGCTTTCCGACCCTTCTCCCACCTCCGGGCAGGGAGAGGGAAACAGGTGGAACAGAGGCGGAGGGAGGCCAGCCACTGAGGACCGGCCGCAGGGTCTGGGACGCGGGGAAACCGGGGAGCCTCGGAGAAGGCAAAAGCAGACTCGGTGGGACTAAGAAACTGGGAGCAGAAGAGAGAAGCCAGAGAGGGGCAGCGGGGCCAAGGGTATCGCCCGTGTGAGGGGGTCGCCGGGCACACTCACCGTCGGGCGTCGGAGCAGCGCCATGAGGGACAGGGAAGGCAAGAGTGCCAGCCCGGCCCAGGAACGGACGCGGACGGGGGTAGGAAGGCAGTAGGGTCCGCGGCGCCGTTAGGACTGCACTCCGGACCCGCAGCGCTGGGATCTTTGGCGAAGTCGCCTTGTTCCGATTCAAATACCGCGCGGCCTGCGTCTCATTGGGCGGCACTGCGCACGATGCGCTCTTCTCACTGGCTAAGACAGGAGGCATTGCCGCACGCTGATTGGCTAGATTTTCTTAGACCCGGTTGGTTGTCATAACAACCGGTTGGGGGTTTTCTTCTTTTTGTTTTCTGGTTTTTTCCTGCCTGCCGTCCTTTTAAAGAAACCCCGGTCTCTGAGGCAAACAAAGATGAGATGTCTCATTGGGAAAGCCGACGCTGGACGCATTGTCTGAGTTTTGACAACGTTTCACCTGTGGATGTCTCTCGACATTTGTACTGGGTGGGCGGAAGTTAGTTCTAGGGAACACCCTGGAAACGCGGTTTCGGACCTTCATTCCTCTTCCGGAAATGAGGGGTTGGACTTTAGGCTGTGGGTCGTGGAGTGGACATCTCTACGTTGCTCAAGACTTCGGTGTGTTAGGTGCTTGAGACGCAAAAGTGTGCTAAAGGACGGGTCATACTGGCGCGTATACGAAAAGATTCCCAAGAGAGGCAAAAAGAAAAAAAAAATGTGCGCGATTCGTGATTAATGTAAGCGCTCCATTGTATTCTCAGCACCTGATACACTGTTTGATATATATTTATTGAATCGGTGCTCGGTAAATATTCGTGAAGTAAATTATCCTATGATGTGTATAAGATTTAGAAATAAGAAAGAAGTGTGACCCCAGTCTTGAGCAGAAAGGTGGGGTGATCAAGGAAGTCCGAGAGTGTTGAGTTTGTAAAGAGAAGCAGGTGATGAAGATCAAGACAGAAAAAGAAAGAGAAAAGGAAAAAGTGAGATTGCAGGGAAAGGAGAGAGGAACGGTCTAACACCCATAGCAAAGACAGTGGAATGACTCTTGATATCAGGTTCCACCTAATAATATGAGCAAGCTTTTCTACCACTTATTCTAGTCTTTAAAATGGTTCATCTCTCCATTACATGGTTACTAATGATCAGTGTGGTTGGATGAACCTTAAATAAAGTTAAGTGATCTGTTTTAAACTCCTTCCCTTGCCCCAAGTAGGCATCTGATGTTTCTGAACTTGTTTCCTTTTCTGAAAAAAAGGAATAATTTTGGGTACTATGTGGAAAGATGTTTGCATGTTCCTCATCCTATAACTAAAAAGTAGGTATCCTAGGAAAAGTTTTTGGAAAAGATAGATCTGTTTTTGTGCATGGGCTTGTGAGTGAAATTGTTATATTTTTGCTTTATTGTTATGTTGTCAAAAGATACTATCATAAAAGTGACTCTTCTTGCCAACTCACAGTTAGGACTTTGTAAACAGAAATGTTATGAATGGTAAAGTGCTTTTATTAACTGACTTGACATTGTCAAAATTGAATAATCCATATGACCAGGTTGAATATTCATTTTAAATTGAGGTAATATTTTTTATTGTTTGTTTCTTACTGCTACTAGCCTAGAGCCTTAAACATAAATTTTTTGATTCAACCTCTTGTTTAAAGTATTGTAGTCCTTTTTTTTTTAAGCAGGATTCACTGAGAAGACAGAAAAACTCCTACAGTGGGAGGGGACCCCAAGGGGTTGCCCAGTCCTCCTATATTTTAATTTCCTGTTCCCTGTCTTAAGTAACAATTGTCGCACTCTTCCTATACAATAATTTACATAAACTTTCTCCTGATTCCTTATAATAATCCTCATGATGTGTTATTGTCCCTGCTTATTACCTCTGTCCTTAGTGACCTTTCAGTAGCCATTGTTCTAGATTACTCTTAGGGCATCAAAGGCCCAGTTTAGTTTATATAGCATTAATTTGTGAATGAGACAGTTGACAAATTATGATTTTTCACCAGAACTCAGTTATTTTCCTACCATACTGCCACGTTCTCTGCTTCAGTTGCTCTTACTCTTCTACTTCTCCATCGCTCTTGTATTTGCCTGTTTTTCTGCTTTCTTTTCTTTCTTAACTAACTAAAAGATAAAATATATTTGCTAGATTAGAATATCAGTATGTGCAAGGCACTGCAGGGAAAAACAAGGAAAAATAAAATAGGAGATTTGCTCTCAAGTTCAAAATAAGGAAGGAGAGGCCGGGCACGGTGGCTAGCCTGTAATCCCAGCACTTTGGGAGGCCAAGGCAAGAGGACTGCCTGAGCCCAGGGGTTCGAGACCAGCCTGGGCAACTTGGTGGGACCTCGTCTCTACATTATATCAAAAAATTAGCCAGGTGTGGTAGTGCATGCCTGTAGTTCTGGCTGCTTGGAAGGCTGAGGCGGAAGGATCGCTTGAGCCCAGCAGGTCGAGGCTGTAGTGGCCGTGAGCGTGCCACTACACTCAGCCTGGGCAACAAAGTGAGACTCCAACTGAAAAAATAAAGAAAGAAATAAGGAAGGAGAGACACATAGGAACAGAAGTATTATGAGGCAAAATTCATGAAATACTAAGCACAAAGGAAAAGATTAAAATGGGGGTACACACTCCTTTGTAAGGAAATGAGCGTATGAACTGAGTTTCAGAGGAAGGCATTAATTTTAGCAGTCAGGGATGGCAAAAGCATTCACAAAGAAGGAAAAATGAGATTAAATGTGGAAAAAGAGAAAAAGCGCCTGAGGCATTTGGATCATAGGAACATTATAGACAAAGTTGCAAAAGAGGCCAGGCATGATGGCACACACCTGTGATCTCAGCACTTTGGGAGGTTGAGGCGAGGGAAAACAATCCTAAGGTAACTTGAAAGTTTTAAGTGGTCAGATTACAATTTTCTCTCAAAAGTTTACCCAAACTCAATTATAAATACAGATAATAACTTTCACTGCTAATTACTTTGGAAGAAAGGTAAGGTCATTGTTCTTTAAATAGTGAGACAGAGATGTTTCTCCTGCCTTGCTTTGAACAACAAGTTCATGTTATCTATCCCATGGAGGTAACCAGGTAACCTAGTGCTAGCAGGGCAGGCTGCACAGGTAAGTTCCAACCTGTAAGCTAGCTCAGAAGCAGGGAAACCCAGAGAGGTTGAATAGAACACCTTTCTAGTGCCTTCATGAGTCTCTACTCAAAACGGTTCTTTAAAATCCGGACCTTAGAAACTTAGAGATTATCCAGGCTTAAAAATAAATAAATTTAATGCCTTCTATAAGCAAAGCACTGTGCAGACTAATTAAGAGGAACAAATGGGGCCGGGTGTAGTGGCTCATGCCTGTAATCCCAGTGCTTTGGTAGACCAAGACAGAAAGATTGCTTAAGGCCAGGAGTTTGAGAACAGCCTGGTCAACACAGTAAGACCTCATTTCCACAAACAATAAAAATAAAAGAATAGCCAGGCATGGTAGCACACATGTATAGTCCTGGCTACTTGGGAGACTGAGGCAAGAGAATCACTTGAAGCCAGGAAATGGAGGCTGCAGTGAGCTATGATCGGGCCACTGCTCTCCAGCCTGAGTTTTTTTTTTTTCTTCAAACTAATATTTTATTCTTAGTGCTGCAAACTAGATCCTGTTCAGACATGTTATAACAAGTTTATTTTGGTGCAAAAAAAATTTTTTTAATCCATGTATTTTTTTCATAATATACATTTTCCACATACTTTGAACACCCTTCATATTATTAGTCTGAGTTCTCCAGAGAAACAGAACCAGTAAGATCTGTGATAAAATAGGAATCAGCTATTGAGGCTGGCAAGTCTCAAGATCTGCAAGCAGGAGACCTGGGAGAGACAAGAGTATGTGGTTTCTGTCTGAACAATGGTATAGACTTGAGACCTAGGAAGAGCCAATGTTTGCGTTTTTATCTAAAGGTACGGAAAACTGATGTCCCAGCTCAAAGGTAGTCAGGCAGGATGAATTTCTGTTTACTCATGGGAGGATCAACATTTTTGTTCTACTCAGGTCTTTAACTGATTGGATGAGGCCCACCCACACCAGAGAGGGCATATCTGCTTTACTCAGTCAACTAATTCAAATGTTAATCTCATCCAGAAACACCCTCATAGACAAACCAGAAGGGCAAATATTGGGCACCCTGTCAAACTGGCACACAAAACTAACCATCACAATAGTTATCTGTCAGGAATATTGCAGAATTTCTAAATTACCCAAAGATATGGCAGTCAAAGAACCAGAACTACATAGCTATCTCCATCCCATAAATTTCTTTTTCTCAAATACCTGTATCAGTCTGGGAAAATGAAAGTTCCTTCACTCTAATTCTGCTTATAATTACATGAGAACAGATCATTTGTGCATGAGCTTCTCTATATGCAAAGCTTTGGTTTGGGGGAATAAAGGTGTTCAGAAAGTTTGTACTAGACATACTATCATAGTGAAACTTGTTTTACCTTACTGTGGTGGATTAAAGATGGCCAGAATTTTTTTTTTGCTGCACTGTCATCTTTAGAGACAAGGTCTCACTATGTTGCCCAGGCTGGTCTTGAACTTTTGGAGTCACCTTGGCCTCCCAAAGTACTGAGATTACAGGCATGAGCCACCATGCCTGGCCCACACCTTCTGTTAATAGGTGTAATCTATTTCCTCTCTCCTTAAATCTGGGCTAGCCGCCTTATTTGCTTCAACCAACAGAATGTGACAGAAGTGATGCTGTTCCACTTCCAGACTTGTCTTAGGAGTGCTGGCAGGTTCTGCTTTTCCACTTGGAGGCCTGAGTTATCACTCAAAGAAGTCTAGCTATCCCTTGTAGACAGATGACATTGAGAGAAAAGAAACACACAGTGAGTCATCATATGTTCCAGCCATGCCAGCTGAAGCCTCAGACATGTAAGAGAGGTCATATTGGACAACACTCTAGCCTAGCAGAGCTCCCAGCCAAACACAGCCACACAAGGAATACCAGTCACACCCCAGTGAGAGATGAGCTATGATGCCCAACCCTGCCCAAATCATACAACTGTGAGCAAATAAATGTGTTTCAGTTTTGGAGTGTTTTGTTTTGTTTTGTTTTTCTACAAAACAGTTAACACCTTGGATGTTCCTTGTACCAAGTAAATCTTTTGTCTATATCATCTTTGTTTCTCGTAAGTCACAGTTTAAGAAAACATAGCACAGTAGCTGG